CACAGCTCACCCTAACAGTCAGTGACTCCATTGACTGGTGCCAGGTCTTGGTCTGGCTACTCTGAACCCTGTTCCTACTTAATCCAACTTCTCGTAGCATTGCACATCACGAGGTTGACGGTGCATTGACTAGGTATGCGCAATATATTTCCTAGCCTGTCCTGCATAGTACCTTTCACCTGGTCTCCACATTGCTCGCACAGTGATACCACCAAATGCAAATAATGCTATGAAGACACCTATGATCAAAACCCTGAAATCGCTTTTTCTTCTACTTTCAACGGCCATGTCTCACAGCCGTACAACAGGAAAAAATGGACTACAGCACAGTACACTCATCCTTTGATAGGTAGTCGGTACCACAGGTAACGTAAGTTAGAAAATGCTAAACAGGCCTTCTGTATCCGAGTCCAGATTTCGCCAGCAACCAGCCCGTTCGGGCTGACGCAACAACTCGACCAAGTGAAGCGGTCGACGTATTCTACCACTTTATTGCCTATCATAAACCTGGAAGTGATTTCAGATCAGTTGTGAGACATGTTGCATTCGACAAGTACAAAATGCATGTCAAACATACTCAGATTTCCACTCAACCCGTTCACAAGACTCTGCATTGAGTCAGCGTCTTCGCCCAGATGACCTCCACAGGGTAAACCAATCCCTGTGAAGTCAAGTGTGCCTAAGGTTATATCAATTAATTTGTCTATTAAGAAGTTAAATAGGAACTATGACAGTGAATATCCATGGTGGAGACCAATAGCTGTCGTTAATTCTGATGACAACTTTCCATAAGCTTTGACCCGGCTACATGAGTTCGAGTGAAGAGCTTTCATTAGCGTTATTTGCTTACTTGGTATTCCTTTCACAGTCAGACACTGTCACAACAACCCATCATCGACAGGGTGAAATGCTGCCCTCTGGTCAAGAAATATGGCAAGTGTCAGGATTCGAACGCAGAGGTCGGTGGTTCTTCAGTGATTATTTTGGGTAAACAAGGTATGTAAAGATGTGAGATTGTATTCAAATATACCATCCCCATCCGGCTACTCTATTATATTCTTTCTTGGTCTAGCACTCGTGAATATTGGACAAGTATAAAGAATGAGTAATTGGTGTCTGGGTTTTTCAAGTTCGCATAAGGATAATTCTTAAACTATCATACTGCTTGAGTTTTACTCCAATACATTTTTGTAAAGTATTTTAGAAATATTTTACTAATCATTCATAGTTTATCATTCTGACTATCTGAGTGTGACAGCCGTGATTTGGCAGACTAGTATTTACATTAGGTGACGATTGGAGGTGAAGTGAAAATTTCGACAGCTGTCGGACTCGAACCAGCGACCACCAGGTTTCCAGCCCAATTCCCCACCAACTGAGCTGCGAGGTCCGACTGCTGACCAAGAGGAGGGAGGATCATATTGACTATCATTTTGACTATCTGAGAAAGCTTGTCTAGTCAGAAATGGGTTCCATGGTGGGTTAATGAAAAGTTGACGTTTTGGGCCACTTCACTATATGTCTACAAACTTACTTGTTCTCTCGGAGCTAGTTTTATATAGGCCATACAAGACGTACGTCTGAATACGACCGTTTATGGTTGTCGAGCGGAGATTGTTAACTGCATAAATGTTTACATATTTAGTCTTGACGTTTTCAAGATTCACATACTTGGTTAGGGGATACTTGTCTTCCCTTTTTTAAAAGTTTAGACAAAAATAAGTAAGGAGTCTGAACTTAAAGGCCAAATAATCATGAAATTCTCATTAAATCTCCCTTTGATGCATTCAACTATGAAAACCAAGTTCGATGTATTATTGTAGTAGGCGTTGCTGAAAAGAATGGATATAAGTAGTATATGTTGAGAGAGTGGCAGAAGTCTTAGGGAATTACCAGCAATGGGTAAAGATTCCACCAAGAGAAAAGCAAGAGACAAAGTAGACGTATGAGGAGCAAACCAAGGAAGAAGCAGAAGAGGAATTGAAGCACATTTTGCAGATGATGGTTTTAGTGCAAGATGTATCACATTTGACAACTTCTGTCCCACTTTCAGATTGATGAAGTATCGTCTGTCTTACTTTTCCGATCCTGGCTGGCTTTGATGTCTTCATCTATGCCACCTGCATTTGAGACGATGCTGCTTATTTAGGGTAGGTGAAAGAGACGACTTCCTTTTGGTTTCTCCCGTTGATGGTGATTGGTGTTGTTGTTGGTTGGGAATCTTCATCACCTCTGTCTTCTCTACATTCACTTGAAGTCTCGTCTTCGCTGTCTCGCCTCTTCTGTCAACTTATTTTGGTTTCTGTCTGCAGATCTTTATGTTTGTTCGATAGTAGACATAAATTATTGGCGGAGTCCAAATCTTCCAGAGTATTTTCATCGGTCAAACGGCATATGCCCCTCTTCTCGCTCCTCACAGTTTCTTGCATTATCCACTCCAGTCCAAATCGAGTCGACCATAATCAGGGAGATCACTGGTGATAGTAGGCAACCTTGTCTTCCTCTTATCCTCACTTTTACATGAAACTGTAGAATGGTAGAGAAGAAGTTATAGAAAAGAATATTCTTTTATTCACTAAAATATATTTTAAAATTGATCTTGCTCACTGTTCAGTGGGTACTGTTGTGTACTCCTCAAAACGTACTGGTGGTTATCTTTTCCCGGTTGCCCACATTATGGAAGTCTAATTCTTCTTGAGATAATTATGAAAGACTGAGGATAATGTGTGACAACCTGAGAGCCCAAGGGACATGTGCTTTTGGCTAGGCATTTTGCTTTCAAATTCGATTTTGAGAATGCCTGTTGCAGACATCGGCATGCTACGAGAAATTAGGAGAGTGCGAATATTGGGTCCGACCATTTCTAGTCCCAGCTTCACATAAGGAAGGCATCATAAGTTGTCACCTTCGCTTCCAGTTAGCAGTATGACTTCGCCATCAGATTCCCATCATAGCGTGACTGCTTTTTCATTAACAAGCACAAGATATGTATCAGCGACTTCCTTATCAAGCTGTACAGTCTTATTTATACTCAGTAAAGTGACAGATAATTCCACTAAAAAGAGAGTTGCTCAGTCGATATGCAAAGTATACAATCGGTGGAGGTGGTGGTATTTGTTCAAGTGGAAGAGATAGAAAATGGGTCACTGAATAAGGAGGAACGAATTGATAACAAATGGTGAGATAAGCGACAAGTGCTGTCAAAGAATTGTAAAATGGTGATAATTAAACTGAAACGTGTACAATAGGTCAATGATTCAGGAATGAATTGATATTAAAAGTGAAGTATGGTTCAAGTGTTGTTAATGAAGTGAAAATTGATGATAATGATGATGATAATAGAAGAGAAGTATACCAAAGTTAAGTGAACTGAGATTGACAAAATCAACAGAATGAATTGTTAGGGCCAAGATAGAGAAAGTGGTTTCACAAAACGTTTTTGAATGCGAAGTTTCGATTTTTGTTCATGTATAGCTAATGCTTGAGCTATGCATAAGTGATTGGAACGTCAACCCTTGGCGTAGTTCAATTTAACTTTATAAATTATTTTAAAGGATGAATCTCGAGGTGCTTAGTGTGCGAGTTCAACAAGGTGTTCACATATGGATGAAGTGGTTTTCCTTTGCTGGCTTCTGGTAAGCTCAATGGGGTAGTGTTCAGCAACACGTTTTCGGAGGGCCCACGTACAACGTCCAATATAGTCAGCTTCACAGGAACATGTGAACTTGTGGATACACATAGATGTGGACATCAGTGGAAGCCTATCCTTCATGCATTGACGAATCAGACGGTGGCTGGAAAATATCAATCTCAGTCTAGCAGCATAGAAGCTACTATTGATACATCTTGACAGACGATTTTTCAGCACCTCGACTGTGATGTCTCCTTTGAATTTTAGATTCATGGTTAAAATTTTCCTAGGGGCTGGAATGGGATGGGGAGTGGTTCGTTTCTTCAGATTCTAATCAATAATTCTTTTAGGGTATCGGTCGGTTATTAGATAGTGTTGTACTGAGAGTTTCGATTTCAGCATCCACCGTATCTTCTGAACATTTTCTTTGGATTCTGGAACAGAGTGAGTGAGTGAGTGAGATTTCTCTTACAACCAAGAGGTACCCAACTATAAAAGTTAGTGAACTGACCGGTCTAGGTTGGTTTTCGATAGACTGTCCTTTGAATCGAGCCGTGATGCCTTCTGTTTAATATTGTGTCTAGAAAGTGGAACGATGAGTTTAACTCTTCCTGTACAGTGAATTTGATGGACGGGTGACAATCATTGAAACTTCTTATCAGCTCATCCACTGAACATGTTTTGTCACAAATGAGAAAAGTGTCGTTCATGTACTTTTTATACAAATAAAGTTCCGAAATTATTTCTCTAAGTGGCCAGTTTTCAAGCTTTGCCATAAAGACATTAGCCAGAACAGGGCCTAGTGGAGACCCCATTGCAACTCAACTCGTCTGATTATAAATTATATCATTGAATCTAATCTAATGTACAAGTGGAACATCGGTAAATAAAGAAACATCAAGCGATATCATACGCTTACTCGTTACGTTACGTTATCTCCGATGCAGCGAACAAAACCAAATGTGTCGGGAAGACTGTATTTGCATTGATTTAATCTCACCGGTCCAAGTATTTTTGCAAGCCACTTTGCCAATGAGTGATAAGGTGAATTAAGCATATCCAGTACTGCACCTTCAGCAGACCATATAAACGGGGCACGTTTGAACCAGATGGTCTAAGCTGCTTATACATATCTCCTTTTTGTCTAATCAATATCCAACGGAACTTTGTGGTATGACAGGATCTCAAGGGAACAATTTTTCCAGTCAGCGTAGCTCGTTGGGTCATTGTGACATACAAGACCAATCAGTATGTCATGGTAGCGACTATTAGTCGGGATGGGTAGTATTATGTATTACTTTACTCCGAAACTTTACTCCCAGATATAATAATAAGTGAATGACTAGTATTTCTTATCTCTTCTTTTCAGAATTCGTACAAAGCTGATTCTAATAGATCAAGTTTAGTACATTTATACGGTTGGAATCAACAGAATGCATTACTATCTATGTATTGTAAACCAATATGTCGACCAAATGGTCCAGGTATTGGAGGTGGTGGGAAACCTGATCGATTCACATACCAAAAACAAACAAGAATCGGTAAAGAATACAAATTCTATCATTATGATGATCCAAATGCTTATATACTACAGTATAGACGAGATTGTACACTGACTTCAAGTAGTAAAGATAATTATGATAAAGGACCATTAGAAAATGTCAACAAGTCAGTAGTGGATGGAATAAACAAGTTAGAAAATGATAATGTAAGCTGCTTTTTCCTCTATCAAATATTTTCTTAGTCAACATTTTATTCATATAGAACATCATACTTCTTGGTTGGTTGGAGGCAATCGGCAGGAAGCCCTAGATCCAGGACTTCCTGCCGATTACCTCCAATCAGCTAACATCTACTACTGTGCACCACGATGCTGATCTTCCTGGCTTGGTTGCCACATTGCAAATATGATCGATAGGATTCGGTCTGCACTCAGGACTATTATTTATTATATATATTTATTTTTCCCTTGGGTTCCTAATGGAACATAGGGCTTCAGTAGCACGTCTCCAGTGTGCTCTGTTCTCTGAAATATTTTGAACCTGGTTCCACGACAGCCCACAAGCTCTTATTTCCTCCTCGCACGATCTCCTCCATGTCACCCTCGAACGCGCAACTCATCGCTTCCAATCAAGGTTCCACTCGAGTTCCTGGCCTGTCTAGTGGTGTCTTCACTCGGCCTTCTTAGTGTATGCCCAATCCGTCTCCACTTCCCTCCAGTGCATATTTGTTGGACAATGGATTCTCGGTTGGTTCGTTACCAGCCAGAGTTCCTTGTTGATTATTCTTCCTGGCCATCTGATCTGCAGTAACGAACCAGGGTAGGCAGTTGTTGATGAATATCTGTAGTTTGTTGGAAATCCTTTTCGTAACGCGCCATGTCTCTGAACCATATAGAAGCACTGACTTAACTCACTTAGTGTTTAAAATCCGGATGTTGTTCTTTATGCTGAGTGTAGAAGATCTCGACACTGGTTTCAGGTTAATGAACACCTGCCTTGCTTTTCCGATCCTGGCTGCTTTGACGTCTTCATATATGCCACCTGTAGTTAAAACTGCTGCCTAGATAGGTGAAAGAGGCTACTTCCTTCAAGTTTCTCCCGTTGATGGTGATTGGAGTTTGGTGTTGGTTGGGTATCTTCATCACCTCTGTCTTCTCTACATTCACTTGAAGTCCCGTCTTCGCTGCTTCTTCTGTCAACTTGTTAGTTTTCGCCTGTAGATCTTCAAGTTTGTGTGACATTAGACACAAGTCATTGTTGGCGAAATCGAAATCTTCTAGGATCTTTTCCCCGGTCCAGTCAGCGTATCCCCATCTTCTCGCTCCTCACTGTTTGTTGCATGATCCAATTCAGTTGACCACAGTCAGGAGTGTCATGGGCGATAGTAGACAGCCTTGTCTTACTCCTTCCTGTCTTCACTTCAAAAGCATCACTGAGCTTCGCGTTGTGAATTACTTGACATGTGGTGTCTTCATATAGTTGTTGAATGAGGCTGACAAAGGTTTGCGCTATTCCGTAGTATTGAGGCAGTTTCCAAATTACCTCTCGGTCGACGCTGTCAAAGGCCTTTTCAAAATCGATGAAGTTGAGGTAGAGTTGACTGCCATTCTGTACTCTGTTCTATGATGATGCGTAGCGTGGCGTTGCAATTTGGTCTGCATATGATTTGTACTTCCTGAATCCAGCCAGCCATCCTGTTCCGGTCGTAGTTTTGAATCCAGTGCATCCTTTAGTCTCTCCAGGATGATGCGGCTTAGTATTTTGCTTTGGGTGGACAGGAGAGTGATTTTGCGCCAGTTCTTGCAAACACTGAGGTATCCCTTCTTCGGGAGTTTGACAAGGTAACCCTTCTTCCAATCGCCAGGTACCTTACCCTCTTTCCAGACGTTCTGCAATAGTGGTGTGGTGTGAGCATGTCCGCTGTTGTCTCTGTGTCTGTTTTCATTGCTTCTGGCTGGATTGCATCTGGTCCTGCTGCTATCCCGCATTTCAGTAGCTTTATGACGCTTAAGACTTCGCACTCAGGACTAGACAACGTGAAATTGGTTGCACTCCCGTGACCAATCAATACATCATAGTTCTTACTCAATGTTCAACTTAGACTTTGTTAAATATGTTTGTTCAAGTTTAAAGCCTTATTCCCGTTAACTCCGCCTTCCAGTGAAGAGCTCCACTTCTTTTGCTTACTGAAGCTGATATACCTGATGCCTGATATACCATATTCTGTTGAAACTGATTTTATTAAGTATCCTGATGACACGACGGTGTGTATTCCAGTCGACTCTCTCACTTACATTGCTCTCACTTAAACGGATTCTTGTCTGTAATTGACCAGTAGTCTCTTTCAAATGGTCTCCAGATAAACCCTTCTAAATATCAAACTAATGGAGAATGGTTTTATTGTGTTCTCTGAGTTGGGTTGTTTAATCGTGAAGATTTCATAGTCTTTCTAGACAACATCATCAGCACTAACTTCAGTATGAAGTGAGCTGTCAATATCTCTCCGTGAGTGATTTAGTAGCTTACCCTGACCAACCGGTTTGTGATTGGTTGTTTCCTTCGATTACTGTGTCATTCACCGACTACATAGATTTTCCTGTTGCCTGTCCCTCTGCTTGATCTCTCACCTTTCTGTCGTTTATCAGTTTCCTCATTGGTTGATAGATTGGGTCTATGTCTATATATTTGTTGACTGCTGACTGATTGACTGACCTGAATGTCAAGCTTCTAGGAATTCTGTGATGATATTCTTTGTGTTTCCTCTCTCCATCCAAGACTTCTACATTGTCGAGATTGAATTCATGTCCATAGTTGTTATCCATGTGCATCAGTTGGAAAGAGTGACGAAATGTCGTGGCGTTTTTTAGCCAATCGGTGTTCATGTAGACAAAAATGAAGAGGGCGACTACTTTGTCCAATGTAGTGTTGACTACAACGATTGTAGTTGATTTTGTAAATGATATTCGGTTTGTCTTTGGTCTTTAGTTATTGCATCGTTTGGTCTGCATAATAGTGTTTGAAGGGAATTTGTTGGTTGGTGAGTGGCCACACCAATTTCAAGTGGTTTCAGCAATCTTATCTTCATTTCTGATATATTGTTTGCGTACATTCATTGGTTTCTGTCGATGACTTTGTAGTTAATGATGTACAGGATAGCCATCTTGTGATAAAGTTTCGTGGATAGCCGTTCTTCTTCAGAATAGACATCAAGTAATTTTCTTAGTTTCTCCGTCAAGTTGTTGTACTGCAGTATGTTTTCGCTCTTTTGAATGAAGTCTGCACTCAACCAATTTTGTGTGTTGTTGGGTTGTTGCTACTGTAGTTGAGAATTTTGGTTAGTCAACGTGTGTTGATTTCCTGTACACTTGGGTTTCCAAGTTTCCAGCATTTTTCCTACCGACTAAAACATCTAGAAATGGTAGTTGGTTGTTTAACTCCTTCTGCATTGTGAATTTGATGTCATTGGAATCGTTGTTGATCAAACTGTGGGTGTTTCCTATATCATCCTTTTTTTAATGATGACAAAAGTGTCGTCCACATAGCAAATCTAAATGTTTGGTGGTTTGATCACAGGTAGAATAATGGTTTCCAGTCTCTGCATCACTCCTTCTGCAATTAATCTGGATATCGGTGATCGCATTGGAGTTCCTTTCATCTGTTTGTATATCTTGCCATTGAAGTAGAAGTATGTTATCGTGTCTTCTAGAAAGACGATGAAAGCTTCATGACTAAACAACCCAGCTTAGAGAACACAATACAACCAAACTGTCGGCCAGTTAAATTTAGTCTTAAGCGTAAAGAAGACTTGTATGAGCTGCTTAACTCTCGTGATATCTGTTACATTAATGGTGTATTTCTACAGAAAGTAAATCGAATGTTACGTATCCTGGATTGAGGTTTACTTCTGGTCTTTCTTCATCATATCAGATCTTGTTGACTTGTAAGAAAAACTTTCGTTCAATGTATTACATAAAGAAACTGAGTCTCTGTGGTATAACTCAATGTCTATACTTTTACAATTTATCAATTCCTGCATCTTACCTACCCTTCTCTATTGTTCCCCGTTGATCTTTCCTGGTCTATCACTAAACAATGACTATGTTATATTACGTATGGATTTGAAAACGGTCACTGAGGAGGGTAAGTGCTATGCCTTTAGCTCGACTGTTTCATAAATCCATAGTTGAAAGACGTTTGAATTATAGAGGGCAACTAGTTAAAATCATTTTAACTGACACTGGGCATCCACTTCGTTCACAGCTCTGTCTTTGTATCTCCTCTCAGGGGTAGGACAAAAAGAAATGACATCAGACCATGCTCTCGTACAGCTGAGTATAACGATTCGATTGCTCCTTACCCCTAAGAAGCATCTTATATGAGAAAAACACTGTTAGAAGGGAACTCATATATCAACTTTGTGAAATATTTGTAAATATTTAGCCTTTTCAATATTTTAGCCAAAAATGTATAATTATCCTTGTTATCAATATTCTTTATATAATTTAGGCTGCTATACTCATATTGTTCGCCATATTGTCAAGGGATATATGTGTAGTTTTGGCAATATAACATGGCGAAAATTGTAAATGGTGCCAAAAATCGTTTAGAATGGAGTGATTATTATTATTATGGACTGACATCAGTTAGGGAACCATTGGAAACCTCGGAACACTGGACAGCTGTTTCGTCCAACTAGTATTGGACACTTCAGCAGTACGCACCCACGACCTAGCTAGGGGTCGGACTCAGGACCCTCAGGTTTCACGACGAACGCATTAACCATTCAGTCACTCGGTCGGTTTCCAGTGGTTCACAATTTCCAACTTCTCTCAATTCATGACATAGCGTGACTGTCACTCAATGTCTTCAGTTAGCATCCACTTCACTTCTGACTAGTTAACCCCACCGGTCACGGCTGAGGAATCCCATACTATTTGGACGAAACAGCTGTCCAGTGCTCCCAGATTTTCAATGGTTCCCCAACTGATGTCAGTCCATGATGAATACTACTTCTAAATTAAATAATTCCCATTCATCTCAAAAATACATTATTGTTATCATCATTATTCTAATTATGATTGTCGCCACAATCATCATTACTGTCATTATGATTAGTATTATTACTATTATTATGAGTATTATTATTACTAATATTATCATTATTGTTATTACGGTCGCTCTTATTAATATCGTCATTATTATTAGT